AGAGGGTGGATTGCCACAGTTGGTTAGCTTTCACCGTATGGCATTGTCGGAGATTACACTGATATTCGTGCATAATCCAGCAGTCGGTTTCCTTGCGATGGTGTGTTATCTCTTGGAAGCTAAAACAGAGGAAAGTTGTTCCTGGGGGTTCCGAAGCTATTCAGTGAGCACTGGATAAGCTTTGGGACTGGTCTACTTTATGGTTACTGCCCATAAATCAGGCAAAGTGCTCCGTTCTTCGGATTGGAGGAGGTTGTCCTCCTGCGAATTACTTGGTCGGTGGGGTCGAACTCCCTCGTGTATCTAGCCAGGTTGACCTAGGCGTCGTACACTCTTCGGCTTTACACTCGGGCGACAACTGGAAGAAGGCCGCAAGCAGAGGTTTCCGCATGTGGTGGTTAATCCGACGTTCTTTCGGAGTCTTGACTGGCGGCATCTTTACGAGGCTGTTCTCGGCTTTCGTTCGCCCTCATCTGGAATACTGCGTCCAGGCTTGTCCGTCCTGCCTCGTGCGGGACAAAATGGAGCTGGAGAGGGTTTTACGAGTGGGTACTAGATTAGTCGAGGGATTACGGGGACTGACGTACCCCGAGCGTCTACTTAGTTTGGGAATGCATTCTATGCACTACCGAAGGCTTAGAGGAGACCTATTCCAAACCTACCGTATCTTGTCTGGGAAGGTTGGTCCAGATTTATCCTGGCTATTCAGTCACGCTAGATTGTCTGTTCTACGCGGTCATTCGTTAAAGCTGGACAAACCGCGGTCCGATCGGATTAGGGCGGAAATCCGGCTGTCACGCAGAGTCATCGACCGCTGGAACATGCTTCCGGAAAGTGTATCAGGGAATCTACGGTTAAGGGGTTTGAGCGGCAACTTGACGCTCTTGGGTGGCAACACGAAACCTTTCCATTTTCCTGAGTAACTTGCATCTTCGTACTTCGATTTTCTTTTCTCTACTTTTCACGCCTTGGTATTATTTTCTTATTTAAGTGCACTTCCCTATTCTGTACCTACGATTTCTCTTCCTATCCTTTAATTACTTCACGTGACTGCCAAAGCAGGGACTGCTAGGGCAGGAAACGTGGGCATTAACTGGTTGGCCAGGGTGCGCTACGGGTGTTTCCGTTTTAGATCCATCAATAACTGCGCATTTCATCAATTCCTGGCTCAACCATCCACTCAAGATGGAACACTCACGGGATTCTCCTATCGTTCCGGTCCCCATCTGAATTGAACTGAACTGAACAGCAAGTCAGAGTCCGCGCGGCGATTGCTTGATGTAATTCCTTCCACCTTCGGCGAAGTATTTTGTGCATTTAGAGGTCTCGATTTATGGCACACTTGTGAAAGCGAAAACAGCGATAATAGCAGAAGGGGTATAAGATTGTTAAAAGCGATCTACCACTACAGTAAAAACAAGTAATAAGTACTTCACGAAATATAGACCTAATGGGGTCGCTTAAAGTACAAATAAAATTTGTCAAATAAAACATGTTCTTAATGTTTTATTTCAACGGGCGACGCTAAGCACTACAGCGCTGAGCTAACAGAGAAAAATGAAAAGGCCCGCTTTTTGGCTTAATTATAGCATATAATAAAAATGTTAAGCGATAGGTTTGGTGAATCTTGAGAGTTTGATATAGTGCAAGCAAGATAACTAAAAATTCCGCATCCGTTTGCAAGTTATTTGGTGACTGACTGCCCTGGTAGCACAAAAATAAGACAAGATTGTCCGCACAATCAAGATCAACTAACCTTACACCAAGCAGTACCACAATGCCTGCATCATGGGACTTCGCAAAGGGAACTCCGTGACGAAGTAGAGCAAAAATGGGGAAATTAGACAACCTTGACGAACGCAAATGGTTGTAGGAGAGCTATCCGACAGATCACCGTAGATCATGACGCGGCCTGTGGTCTTCAACCACAAGGCACTTAAAATGTCCACCCAACCGCACAAGTATCTCAAGTAGAATGAATCGATCGACTGAGTTGAACGCGCATGAAGTAAGGGAACACAGCTATTGTCGGTCTGCAGTACGTGTGGCGCTGCTCTAGCACCTGCCGCAAAGTGAATATGTGGTCTACACAGCCACATCCTGGGCGGAAACCTGTCTGCTCTTCCCCAATCTGGGATCCCCTTTCCACAGTGAGGCGAGGAATGAGAATCGAGGTCAGTAACTGTCACGACTGGCGTTAGGCTAATACCCCTGTGGTTAGCACAGTCGGTGCGGCTACCCTTCTTATACAATGCCACTATAATCGACTCACTACAGTTAGCCGGGGTGGTCTCCGCCTTCCAGAATTGTTAGAACAAGGAGTGCAGTACTTTGCAGAGGACTTCACCACCATCCTTAAACAGTGCATGAGGGGGGGGGGAATCCGGGCCAGCAACACGAAAACGATTGAGGGCTGTGATCGCGTTTCGGACGTCGGCCTCTGATGGAGCCTCTAACCTACCCGTCTATGACGCATCCTGCATCAGCTGAGTCGGCAGAGGTCCGGAAGCATGGGGTCAACTGAGCTGACCATAAAAGTACTCCGCCCAACGAGCCATGGTGTATCAGTGCACCTGTGTTCTCTGGTTTTCTGGGACCAGTGGTGCGAAGTAGTTGGAAGAGCTTACGATAATTGCCTACTGCTCCCATTTTCTCCATTTCTTGAGGCCAACTAGTCCACCAGGCTTCCGTGTCAGCACGGAGGCCACACCTTAGTTCGCGCATAATAGTCCGTCTAGTTACATTGTGTTATGAGGCAGCCGGGATTTTTTACTAGATTTTAACAACTTTACTGGTCTCTCGGATATCCAGTGACTGATAGCGTCGCAAACGGAGACTCTTGCATGGCGGCCGAGATCCTGTTCCATTGAAGCTATGTCATTAGGACGTGACAGCAAATGTTCGGTATGCAAGTCATCCTAGTAGGTTTGCTTGACCGAGGAATGAGATAACTTTTTAGTTACTAGTCGAGGGAGTCAACCGGTACGCCTCACAGTAAAGTTCGTGGATAAATGCCAGCGCACCAAGGCATGATCGGAGTCGACGTAAGTATGCGAGAACGAGCAGCAGTCCAGTACGGAAGCTCATCACTTATGGCAACGTGATCTATTTGGGTCCATTGCTGGTCAACTATAGGTGGATACCAGGTGGTAATTCGTCTTCCACTGTGCCTAAAAGCGGTGCTACTAAGAAACAGAAGTGTGTTCCGCACACAGTTGCAATTGACGCTCACCACTGTCCATCAGATCGTAGTTAAGCCCATACTCAGCATCTAACCGAGCTTCTGAAGAGCTCAGAAGACCCTACTTGAGCATCCATATTCCATACAACAACAACGGGTTGCTGCTTAATGATAATGTATTCACTGAGTTTTACTGATCGAAAATGTTAGACGCATACAAGGAACCAAATCTATGGTATTGGCCAGTCAAAAAACATGGTCACCTGGGTGATTACTTCTCAAATTTTGCACTGGTTTTCTGCAACGCTACTGAATAAACAAGCGTGAAATATGTTAGTTGCATGTCTGGTAACCAGCTACGGGTTCGTATACACAGGTTCTTTTATTGGTGCTTAGATTTTCACACAAGAGCGCATAGAAGTTGTATGTTATTAGCTTTTTGGAAATCTTGTTGATTCCAATATTTTCGCTCGGAAAGTTCAGCAAATAGATGGGCTAAAACATCAAAACCTTGGATACTGCTTGGAACCGATCGAGAACTAAAGATTTCAAAAAGGGTTTGAAAACAAACGACGTTGCTCGCGGATCTCAGTGGCATAGTGTTTATGGTGTCAGCCATGAAGCACTAAGCTCTGATGTCCACCCTACTCAAGCTATCTCCACTTGATGGGTCCAAACCAGGGTGAAACCGTGGTCGTGGGGTGCCAATGTTTGGGTGAGCAACAAAAATATTTCCATTTCAAATATGGTCTTTGTGATCGGAATGACGGAGGTCTCAACAGCGGTTGCTTGTAGCAACCCAACCACACAGCAGATTCTCCAAGTCCAATTTTGAACCGGCTGGTATAGTTTGTCGGCGACGTTTCGCTTTTGACATTGACAGGGACTTAGGTGTGAGATCTTGTAGTGTGGAACACTTGGGACCGTTCTATGCACCGTTGGAAGTGACAATGGGACCTGTAACGCGATTAACCCGACCAGTCTGAGAAGCGTTGGTGGACGGATCCGGGGCCGATAATGAATATAAAAGCAGCCCCACATCCATCACTGACAGCGGCTACACACTAACACACCGAGGATGTTACCTCGACTGGTGACGGAACGTTTGCAGCAAAATTATCATGCTCAGCGAACGGCTAGTCTAACTAAGTAATCACTCACACATGTAATCCTCATGCATCAGAGCAAGATCTTGACTGATAGACGCAACCTATCATATGCATGGGAGCAGGTTCTCGCAAAGTCAAGCAGGCTCACCCATTGATGTTGCCATGATCTTAGCGTGGTACGTCGAATGAGTTGTATTCATCCGGACGATGATAATTCTGGACAAAACGGACGAGACACATATTGGGGCACCTGACAGATTACTTGAAAAGAAACACCGCGTCGATGGTGCAACCACATTAACCTGAAACGCGCAAATATGCTGACACTTTAACAAGTAAGTTGATATGCGGGAGGGGGCGACAAAGTGCAAACGCTGTCTTCATCGGTGCCCACAAGAAATCGAGGCAGACGCATTCACATGTGCTAACGGGAATAACATGGTGGTTCCCATTTGTGCTATCTGACGTATTTCACACAGACTATGTGACGGAAAATGTCAAGCTTGAGCTCTATTTCTGCACAATGCCGCTGTTCCATAGTCAAAACCCTTTCCTTAAGCAACAGATCAGCTTGAACATCACAGAGTTGTTTAAACGCATGCACAAGATAAAATTAGACAAACATTGCGAATGTGTCAAAAACAAGAACAGAAGTTGCGCTATGAGACAGATTCAAAAGGGGTAATTTCCTCCACCGGTTGTAGATATATTCATGGGACCAGTACTTTTTCGTCCGTTGATTTATCTGAAAAGAGTGAATTGCAAGCAAATGTCGTGTTAGCAAGATTACCACGTGTGTTTGTCCAGGAAGAGAGTAAACTGCTGGTGTACAGCATTCAAAGTGCACTGAGCCTACCATGAGTAATTAAACTTGCAAATTTGCAACACGAACTGAAGCTGACTACCTGACTGTTACAATGTTACAAAGGCATAAAACAGGCATAAAAATTACAAAACGATTAGCATTTGATTCAGAATTCAGTGCTAATGGACTGTTTGCAGTGTTATTACTGTCGATTTGAAACGCCGTTAGCCGTTTGTTATGCGCATCTTCCAAATCGTTTGGATCGGTTGGGCTGTGAACATGCGAATTCAGTAGTATATGACGCAGTTTGTGAAAACCACAGTAGTAGAGTAGGCGCTTTTGCCATCTAAAACGAATCAGTGGAAGACATGAAGAAGCTCAAAACGAACCTACCTCTAACTGTACGTATGGACGACCACAGGGTCAGGATGAGTCGGGTGAACTTTAATGAGCCAGTAAAAAAAACACGCTTCCCCTAATTTGAGCAGATTGCCTACTAAGGTGACAACCCTCCACAAGCAGGTTCGGGCTGCACCTAGCACATAATTTAATGAACATAGTTCAGAGATGGCGTGAAGAATGCATTAGCCGGGACTATTCTCCGGCCGTAGACCGAGGATGCAGAAAGGTGCATCGTGGAGTGTGCAAAGAAGGTGTGTTTTGGTGATGTCTGTTCTACTGCCTCAGTCAGCGCTCTGCGGTATCAGTTAAGGCACTGGGAGGAGGAGGCTGTGCGTGCATACTCCATACAGCCCAGTTACAGAACAGCGACATCACCTGAGGTGAATCATTTAGCTGTGTTGTTTCCTACGGGTACAGAGATCGCGGTATGTGAAGACCTGTGTTTTGAAGACCTGTGGAAAGTATATGAGTAGAAAAAGGGAAGAATGAAAAGAATTTAACCGAAGCAAAAGAGTAAAATGAGCGGTTCCGTTATGGCAATTCTCCTGCAGCTGACGGACCGGTGAACACCGTATCAATTGTACTACGGCCCGAACAGAAGCCACACTGTTCTTGAGTCAGGATTGATTCATGAAGATGAATGACGAAAAGGTTGAGCAGGATATGGAAATCGTCTTCTCAACGCGACTTACCTAGTTGTTGCCACGACAATTGGCGACACATTGCCTCTTCCCTTTACCATTCTATAGTGGTAGGACATCCTTCAGCTCATCTGGCACCTCTTGTTCAAACCACACGCGTTTCACAAGTGGTGCAGGGTATGTGGTAGTAAGCAGTTCTGGAGGTATCGCATCGGTATCAGCGCACTCGCCTTTTCGTAACTGGGAAAGTGATCTCTGCGTTTCATACGGACTTGGGGTATCTGAAGAAACGCCCTGCATATTTTGCTGCTTCAACCCGTGCAAGGTGTCCCAGTCAGCCTCTGAACGGTTCTTCAGGAAACCATCGAAGTGTTTGCGCCACATCTACAGACTACGAGTAGACAACACTGGAAGCAGTCTCCACGACCGACCGCAGCGGTTCTAGGGTGATTTCCTACACTGAGTTCAAGGAGTCATAGAATTTATTACGCTAGTAGCGTCTGGCCCAGCGTCCCATTAATACAGCCTTCTCAGTCCACCATGTATTCCTGATGTGACGAAGCTCCCGAGTCAGACGACGCATCTTGCGAAGTTTAGTACTCTACCCTTCATTGTTTGAGTTCTCTTCAAATGTAACAAAAGCTGCGTCAATGTTCGTGCTCTTGTCATCAAATCAATCGAACTGCGTACAGCTTACGCGTCTGATCGTCTCTTGGGTGGGAACAGTCATCTGTTTCTTCAGATGTTGCCATAGAGCACTGACTGAAGTAATCGAATCGATCTCGCCATTGCCTCCAACAGCCCATGCCTCTTCTCCACAGTACTGAGAGAAGAAACATTAAGTTTCCACCGATTCACAGTAAAAGGAACGATGGAAAGGTTTACGAAAATATATATGTTTAAATTGATGTACATTAATTTGTGATCAGTTCCAAATAAATATGTATCAGTTGCGTATTAAACGGGACATTTTCGGATCAAATTGGACGTGCTTCAAATCGGAGTAAACGCCTTGCGAACCAAAATGGACTTTTTGAAATCAAACTGAACAGTGTCCAAACCACTTTGTCATCAGGCTAATGTGAATGAAATTGCGCAAACCGAGGGAGTTAGTGAAAATTCTTCCCTTGCCATGACCGTGAGTTGATTGATCCTGAGCGTCATTCACTTCGGTCAAAAGCGGTTATCGAGTTGCCTTCCGTCACACTATTGGTTTTCGTGTATTGTGTGCGTTGGTACGCATGAGCAATGCAGCCTGTTGTGACTCAACCTACCTTATCCTGCTGCTTCACGAAACAAACAAAAATTGGCAACGAACGACAAGAAGACTTGTCTCCGGAAGTGGGACTATATAAACGGATTTTCTTGGCACAGAAAGAAACCATTAATATATGGTTATTCGCCGAAGGGGAAAAACACCCACCAGGACGCTAAAGTAACCGATGTCAATGACAAGAGGGCAAGAAATATCATCGAGATTTAAAGAAGGCGCAATTTGGAAGCAAAGGTGGAGGAAAAAACAAAGAGAAGTTGAATCCCCAAGTCCAATGATATTTGAAGAACGCTTTAATGCACGTATAACAACGGCTGAAGAAAAGGTGACACATCTGTTGCCGTCGTGACCCGGTAGCCAAAGGGGTAGAGGTTTCGGCTACTATTCCAATGGTCCTGGGTTCTAGACCTGCCATCTTTCCACCTGATGAGATCAAAACAGGTCGAAACGCGGTGTTTTCGGGCGGGCAACACCTGATTTTCACCCTTCTGCATGTAAGATTTGCAACGACATCAGAAAGTTGAAGATTTCGATCAAAAATACCACTGCGAGTTCGACTGCGTCAACAGTGCTACGTAGATCGCAACTGGTACACTGTGCACTCGACTTCTCGGTACAAGCACTACAAGATAAGGAGTGAGTTCAGTATTTATCCGCTACGGGTGTAGCCCGCTCAAGAATATGGATGCATGCGAACGACACTTTTTCACCAGCTAGAGACCACATGGAGACGCTAAGTGTGACGATGAAAATTCAGTGCATATTGCATATAAAGGTCAGCAACGATGGTATCTGCAATGACGCAAAGTTCTCCAATTTAATCGAAGAGCTTGCAGCGTGTATATATTGCGGAGTGGTGATGAACGGCACATAACTGACCATGAATAATGCCTAGATTTTCATTCCGGAGAATGCTAGAATCGTCCCATCAGTTGTTTCTGTTGCATAACACTCGAAGTTAAGAGTGTCGGCGAGGCGCGACCATTGGAGGAACCCTCGGAATGGAAACGCAGCGGAACTGCACGAAGTACGCGCTCAATATGAGGATGAACCTGATGACGGAAGCATCGGGATAGCCTTTCATTAAACGACTGATTTTAATGGAAAATTTTCGTCCCCATTATTTAATGGCAGAAGTTCCGCGCAAAACATAAACTGTAAAGTTCCCATTGAGAAAGGTTCAGTTTGACTTGTAAATCGTCCACCATAGTTTGACAAATGTCCAGTGTAAAGCGAAAATGTCATATATGTATGTAGTCGAAATAATAGATAAAGAAGGACGGAAACTAAACGGTTTCATTTTACAATTGAGACGAGAAAGTTAACATCTATCGCATTTCTCCCAACTCGTTTCTCAGTTTTATCGCTTTTAAGAGCTTCAACATTAAAAATGAATCAAAGCTAGTATGTAAACGTAACTTCGGTTGCTTTCTGTCATGCGGCAGCTTCAAGGTGCTTCGAACCATAGACATTCCAAAATCCTTTAGTCCGAGAGACAAAAGGAAGCATAGAACCGGTCGGTGCTAAAAGCGAATGGGATGGCTGGCCACTACCAGTACCATTTGTTACAATCAATAAACAGACTGAGATGAAGTCAAGTATCGTTAGAGGTGTCGAGATAATGAAGGCATCGACTTGGCGAACCTGTAAACAAAGTCGTGAAAGTATGGATGGTTGGACCGTTGACAACACTAGCACAAGGGGGTAATATGTAGTGATTAAACATCCGAGGTTTGTGAAGATATAGTCCAGGGCGGTCTTTGTAGCCACGAAGAAAGGTCATGGAATGAAATGTAGTACTGTCCCAATGGCAACCGAGGAGACGATTCACAAGAATTTTCCAGGCAGTCCGATAGTCTTCTACAAGCAGCGGCGTAACAACTAGCTTTGCCGCCCGGGGCGGCGGTAAAATTTTCGCCCTGATTGAGGGCAGTATAGGCGCGTGAAGGCCACACAATCGACTCAGGGTAAAGTGCACATTAGTTTTCGATGAAATGGATGATCGTTTGGGACACTGAGGTAAATGTGGTGAAAGTGACCACAATGGAACAAGTAAGAGGATCGCTAGGAAGAAGGTTTGCACATGTGGGACATAGCGTAAACGTGTTGTTGGTCATACAGAGTAATATAGAAGCCTTCAACCCTCGACTTATCCGGATATTTTGCCCTTTATATTTGGTATGGAACAATCGACGGTACTAAGAATGCCGCTCCCTGTCACATGTTGCCCGGGGCGGACCGCCCCCCTACGCTACGCTATTAGCTACAAGGTAATTAAAAGTTGGTTGGGACCTACTCTCACGTTCGTGCTTGCTTGCCATCTACAGACACTGATTTGCCCGAACATGAGAGGTGGAAATTTCCGACTGAGACATTTACCTCCCAATACGAGATTCGAGAGAGACAAGCGTTATAACAGCCAGGGAATCATTGCCGGTTTGTGAGAGTTGTGGATGGAGTTTGGGTAAGCAATCCCAATTAAGACTGCGATCGAATTAGAAGTCAACGTCGACCAATTCGATCACTGGGGGACCGTATCTGAAACCAACAACTATCCCTGAAGAGTGCCACATGAGAAAAGCCAATCGACACCTCAGTGACTCAGCTGCAGAATTAGGCATTTCGCGGTACAATATGCCTTCGAGGAGAACAACAACAACAACAAAACAGCGAGGACAAGGAAACAAGAAACGGTTACAGACAGTATGGTTAATCCCCACCTAAGCCAGGTGACATGATCGAGGATGGCAGCACAGTGTAAAGGATGAGATCAAGCATCACTGGCGCAATCGATTAAACACTCACCCGAATGGACAGATTTTAGGTGTTTTCTCATATTGCCCTTCTCAGAAAACCTTTTATCACAATATTCACACACGTAGTGGCGTTGATCTGAATGGGGAAACAGATGAACAATAAGGGGAGGGGGAATTTGCAGAAAAGTAGATGAACAGTTAAAATTGGTGAACATAAGTTGTAGTAGTACACCAAGTAGTGGAACTCACTGACAAGCAACAATGGCTGCAAATGTGTATAACACCTGGTCTCTTAGCGGCTACGACCATTTTATCAAGTGAAATAGACCTTTGATAAAGCCGTGTGTGGAACTAGGCTCACTTCATTAGGCCGCGACGACAGCAAAAGCTACAGTCTGTCAATATCATGCAGATTGACATAAGCACAGCAAAAAACCCATACGTTCTCACACCGAAAATTAGCTGTTATTTAATCGTCATCGGAAACATCTACATGACCCACGGCATGCAATCGATTGAGCTCAAAAATTGTACGGAGCATTTCTCATTCGCGTTGCGGTCTGAAATTGAGTGCTCTGTCTCTATGGTTGCTGGTGACTTCAACAAATGTGATACGATGTTCATCAAGACATTTGGTCTAAAAGTTACGGTCTTTCGAAAACAGATTTGATGAACAGTTGGATCTTGTTTCCACAAACAAAACTCAATTGTTTTATACTTTACAGTGAGATCCTCGCGATAGCTCAGACCTGTGTATCCTAAAGACATGCCCAATTATTTACAGCAAGACTAAAATGGTGACTTTTACAAAAAAGCCCACGAAAACCATCAGATTGCTCAAAAGAAAGTATCGCGAAACTCCATGCAATGCCGGCTTCGACGGACTCTTCAGTTCTCACGGACAAAATCCTAGTGTGAACACCTTAACGTATATATCAACTTCTGCTTTGATCTATGTTGCCCGGTTAAAACTGTGTACCTACGCATGGAAAGATTCTCCTCGCCCCTACTGAAGCAACTTCGGCGAAAGAAAGAACGGGCATATGTATTTCAAATGTCTGCCCAGGTTAAACGATTAACATTGGCAGTGAAATCAGAGGTAATGGGACTGAATGGTCTGTACATTGTTAGGTAAGTACGATTATCGCAAAGTTTGGAGGCTTTTGAAACAGCTGTGTGGCAAAACTCCCCTGAAGCGGCTTGATAATGCGGATGTGGACAGGCTGAATATCGAGTTTTATTCTTCCTCAAAGGGTATGTGTTGACTGCCCTTCTTCCACAACACTGGTCCCACAGTCACTTCTGATCACTTGGATGTTTACGCGGAACCCAAAAAATTGAAGATTACTAAAGCTACTGGATCTGATGCTAAAATCCTCACTCGCCGTAATAGAGTGGGCAGATTATCTCGCGATACCCTTAACAGCTCTATTCAAACGCTGTGGCACAGTCCGCAACATTTGGAGACCTGTAAGAATAACGCCTGTGCCCAAGAAGAAATCTCAAAGTTATCATTTAACTGCATGTACGTCGGTGAGGTTGCAATTCTTTAGAGAAACTATTTGTACCTCGGATCTTCACATGCACCCAGGCAGACGATGAATACCAGTTTTCCCATAAACCCAACCGCTCCACAATGGATGTTGGATCGTATCTGGTACATTCGATATCATCTGCACTGGATGAAAAATGCAGCACAGTGCACCTGTTGTTTCTCGATTATTCAGATGCTCTTGGGAGCGTTAACAGAACAACCCTACTCAACTAGCTGCTCGCGAGTGGAGTTCATACAAACCTCTGCAAGGTGATCACAGACTACTTTACAAACCGTACCCACTAATTCACCCAGCATAACGAAACAAAGTCCTCTAGACTTTGCTCCGATCGTGGCTTTTTACAAGGAGCGATTCTCTCTCCCTTACTGTTTTCTTTAAACATCGAACACCTTCCTATACCGTCCAAATTTATTAGATGCAAGTATACAGATGATGTCATTATGGGATGTATAACTCTAATCGTTAAGACATCTACTCTTCAGTAGTCTGAATACGTTTGTGCTGTGGTCATCGAGCAGGTCTCTCATTCTAAACAATTCTAAATGTCGTGATATGAGATTCTGTTTTCTTCGGGCAGATAAGCTGTAAGTTGTTTTGAATGCCACTTCCTCACTGAGAGTGAGTGATCAACTCATACCAAGATATCGATGGTCAGATATCTTTGCTTTTATCCCAAAACCTATCTTGGTCTATCCATATCGTGGAAACATTTGACAAAGTTAGAAGGCCATCCCCTAATGTCCGCAGACTTAAAATGCAATCGGTACCTCGTGATTTGGTCACCAAATTTGTGACTGCATGCATTCTGCCTCACTGGCTTTACTGTTCCCACTAATCATCATCGTCCTCATTATACGCGTTAGCTAGAGGTGCAAAACCCCTCAGCCACTGTGCCGCAATACATAAAAGAAAAAAATTAACAGTTGTATGCCAGCTGAGCTAGTAGTAACGGATGCGCATCGTTCCGGAAAGCTACCAGCCGGCTACTATGCAACAAAAATTTCATATGTAAAATTACATTATGCTAAGAAATGATGTCGTGGTTGGAGGGGGAGAGAAAAGTAACTCACACCACGAACGCCACCGATACCGGCTCCTAGCCATATCAGCAGGCGTATCCAGCCAAACGTGTTCATCGTCTTTCGGACCCCAGCCAGGGAGCCGAGAGGCTCAAACCGACGCCGTTCGAAGGAAGGGCCTTCATTCCTCTCGGCCAAGTCATCGCTTGGTCACCCCTCCTCTTGTTCCATCCGCATCCCCGGCGCGCAAACAACGCACATTGCGAGAGTCGGTGGGCTGGCATGCGCAACACGTGGCCCAGCCATCGGAGCCTGGTGCGTGAAATAACGGTACTGAGCGGTTCAGATCCTTTTCCTGTGCCATAAACAAGGCGTCGAACACGCTCGTTGCTCACGCGGGGTTCCCACCAGATGTGAGCTAAATTGCGAAGGCACCGGTGGTCGAACGTAACTAGCATCGTCAAATCAGTTGCTTTAAGGGGCTAGGTTTCGCAAACGTACAGTAGGGTCGAGCGTACCGCTGCACTGCATACTCTACCCCTCAGGGCGAGAGTGATGTCGCACTGGCACCACAGGTGAGGAAGATTAGCAAAAACGGATCGAGCTTTTGCTATACGGTTTGTGATCTCACCTTCGATCCCAAGGGCGCTGACACAATTTCCCAAGTAGTTGAATTGTTGAACGGCTTCTAGCTGATCCCCACAAAGGGTCAGCGCAGGAGGTGGTCCATACCAAGCTTGGAGGAAAGCTTTGCATGACTTCGTCAACAGCGAAGTTGAAGAAGAAAGGTGACAACGGGCATCCTTGACACACTGCTGGAGATTTTGAAGGGCGGCGACACATTGTCAAGCTACGCGCGTATGGTGTACGGATAATATTTACATAATTCTCGAGTACACCTTTCCTGAATAGACAGACCCAAAGAGCACATCGATCAAACGAATCGAAGGCACATTTGATATCGAGGAACACGACAACGGTGGGCCGCCAATATATGTGACGGTGCTACAACAGCCGACACAAAGTGAAGATGTGGTCGATGCAACCATGACCTTGACGAAATCCGGCTTGCCCATCACGAATCTGGTTTTCATGAGTGCCAGTCGGTGTGTGAAGGATTGCAGAGGAAAGTAATTAGGAGGCGATGGAGATCAGACTGATTCATCTATGGTTGCCGCATTCCGAACGCGAGCCTCCTTTGAAGATCGGAACAATAATGGAGCGGCTCCAGTCGGTTGGGACAGTTTCCTACTCCCACAGTTTCAGTAGTAATTTGTGTAAATCATCAACAAGAGCAGTACCCCCAAATTTGAAGAACGCTGGATGAAGATCGTCCGGTTCCGCGGCATTGTTCAACTTCAACAGTCCGAGTTCTGAGTTAGGGGAGGGGATCCAAAGACAGCCCAGGGGGCGGGGCGATCACTGGTCGGTTAGGAAGCTAACAATTCCGACTGATTAACTTGATTCTCAAAACGCTCAGCCCAACGCTTTAAACGTTTTGACAAATTGTGGATAGGCTGTCCAATATCGTCATAAATTGTTTCACTAACACCAGGTCTCCTGCTGCCCGTTTCCAGTATTAGACAGAATAACTTCCGATGGTTACCAAGGGCAACGGCCACTTTCATCTCTGACGCACTAAAATTCGCGGTCTCTTCAGGTTATTACGAAGCTATGCCCGGAGGTTTCAGCGAGTCTCATTGTGTTCGCTTCGAGCCGGAATGTGCCGGCGAGCACCGATACGTTCCAGAGACCGCCAAGAAAGCCGATGTCCATGTTGGCTATTAGACTTACCACATGAGGATTTTCCTGCTGCTAGTAAGGTCTGGTGAATATGAGACCAGTGAGCTTCAGTTGCATCCAGTGAGCGCTTACTCAACTCGCATGACAGCGTACTTTGATAGGCATTCAGAACAGCTGGCTTCGCCAGTTGGCTGGCGTCAATGCGCTCAAAACGTTGCCGTGGGTGTACGCCAAAACGCATCCGCAGGTCAGCACATACAAGTGCATGATCGATGTTCACACATGTGCTCCAAATCGAGCGACAGTTCTGGACGCAGCCTCTCCAGCAGTAACTGATCGCAATGAGATCGGTTTGCTAGTGGACGCCAAGTCAACCTCCGGCGAGTGCTGTGTCGGAAGTGAGTGCTCGTAAGAAATAAGCGGGCATCTTCACACAACTGAAGTAACCGCTCACCGTTATCATTACGGGAGCCTACACCGCGTTGGCCGCCCAGATGCAGCTCATCAGTGGACAATATTTTCAACTTAAGCGTTCAGATCCCTAGCCAACACCACAGTGTCTGTGCTTCATCTGAGGCGAAGTAGCTCGTCTTTTACCGAATCATTGCTAGAGTTTGTGGGTGCATAGGCAGCGATGACGAATAGACACCTGTTAGTCCATTGCAGCTTCGAAGCTGTGAAGGAGCCATCCAATAGGACCGCATACAACCGGCTACTGATTGGGATCCAATCAACAAGGGTTGCTTCAGTCTGGGGACACAGGGCAATACCAACACCTGCTTGACCGGTAATCGAAGCTGCATCGTCACCGGACAGGT